ACTTTTAGGTAGATATGAGTGATAGAGTGGTAGTTTTTTAATAAAGTAATATTCCTGTTGTTTAGATGTAATTTTATTTACATCTGGATTAAAGATAGTTTCCAAATTCAGAAAGTGTGTGGTTGATTAAATATCTAAACTGTAATCCCTGGAGAGGAATTATAAGCATGAACAATACAAATGACCAGAAAATATGGCAGAATTGTTAAAAACTATAGAAAATGACAAACAGCCGTTGTTTATTCATCATAAAATGCTGACACCTAAAGAAATTTTACTTGAAACTCGCGGATTTTTTGAAATCAGTTGAGACGCCAATGAGCCAAACTTTTGGAAGTATCTTGTGCAGATGCTGGCCCTGACAGTGGCCCCTCTCTCTGGCTGGAATCCTGGTTGTCACAGGTAAAATTCAGCAATAATATTTAGATTTCTTAAGTTGAAAAACTATTTTGATTTGGTAAACATTTTGAACAGGTTATTGGATAGTAAATATCTGTGACATTTTTAGTTGACATGGGGACATACTTAGCTACAGGTTTGAGAGAAAACCATACCAACCTTTAACATATCAAACACACTGAAGGATCCCACAAAGATCTGTTAGATCAACTGGGGGGGGGGACCCAATGTGTAAACCCCTTCCCCACCACCTCCCCACCATGGGCAACCATCCATGATGTACCATGGTGTAAGGTTTAACCGGGCTTTATTTAATTTGTAGAGGGAGAGAGAGAGGACAGACAGGATTTCTGGCTTGACAGGTGTCTGCGAGGTATCAGGGCTGTGGCTGGAGTTTTCAGTTCACAGAGTTTGTTCATCTGAATTCCAGGCAGCAGCATATACCCTGGGGACATGGGGATTATCCCATTTCCACTTTGGCTTAGCCTGCAAATAAATTCCACAGGGAGGAGGGAGCAGCCGCCCAGGGTACTCACTCACACGTTGAGTCACCTTCTGCCTCGTTTCCTTTCTTCTTTTTTAAAATTTATTTATTTATATGTATTTTATGTCACTGTGCATTTTTGTACAATGTTTGCTTTCTCCTCTCAGGTGTAGTCCCCATAGAAGTCCCATCACCAACTCATCCATGAATTAGCACCATAGAGGCTTGTGTTCTTTCTTCCCTCTCCTTTTGATCCCTCTCCTTCCCCCTCTCCTGTAAAGTGGCTCTGATTTATAGTTACCTGTTAATTGTTTATTTATTATTATTTTTCCTGATCCTTATTCCCCCCCCCACATTCCTCCTATAAGTGAAATCATCTGGTGTTTTTCTTTCTCCTTCTGGCTTATTTCACCAAGCATAAACCTTCCAGCTCCATCCATATTGCTGCGAATGTCAGGAGTTGATCTTTTTTGATGGCTGAGTAGTATTCCATTATATAT